TAGGAGGTATGGACCATGGGTGGAAAGATTTTTGCAAACATAGAAAATAAAAAAATGTCTATCAAAACTGAAGATGATGTTATCAATATTAATCGGTCAGCTGAAACCACGGAGATATAAAGTTATTCTTTTTCTAATTGGTATAGTTTTTTTTCCCCCTTTTCTCTTATTGCTTTTAACTCATACCGGGTGTCCCACCGAACACTGTCAATGGCCTATATCTTGAAAATGATAATTGATAAAAAAAAAACCTGTTTGGAGGGTTGGAAGGGGGAATCAAAACAAGGTACTTTTCAGCTCTTCTCGAATCACCTCTCCGGCCGTAGCCACCTTAACCTCAAAATCTTAAATGGCATTATAGGTCATGTGATACCTTGTCCAAAAGGTTTTTTATTCTCTAAACGAATCTGCAAAAAAAAATGATCTAGATACAAGTTTAAATTGTCACAAAATAGCCCATGCTTCGAGTTAACAACTTTGCGCTCATGAGGAGGTGAACACTCTCAGATACAGTGAGGGAAAAGGGGTTCAAAAAAATAAAATCTTGATGATTTCCTCAAAAATATTCATGCTGTTATTCAATTTGTATGAAATCGATTTTAAATCATATTTACCTGTTCCACCCGATCAAATGAATTTTCCATCAAAATGAGAGTCACATTTAAATCTGGATAATTTTTTTTTGCAGATCCCTTAAGAGAATTAAAAGATCTTTAAAACAGGGTATCACATGACCCATAGTTCTATTTAAAATTTTGAGGTTAGGGTAGCTACGGCCGGAGGGGTGATTCAGAGAGACCTGAAAAGTACCTTGTTTTGGTTCCCCCTTCCAACCCTGCAAACGGGTTTCTCTTTTTTTTTTTTATCGATTACCGTTTTCAAGATATAGGCCATTGTCTGTTTTCGGTGGGACACCCGGTTGCATTTTTGTATCGAGCGTCCAGTAACCCGCATTCGGTGTACCCGACCTCGGCACGTATCAAGCGCACGGTAGTACGAAAATCACTCGGATTACCGTACGCTCGATACTCGCGCCTACAGTCACGAATAGACACTTTAAGTTGGACCAAACACGTTAACGTAATCTTTAAACATAAACCTTATTTTTTACTATAAGGACGAGTGACCGTCGGTGCTCACAAATCAGTTTAAGTTAAATTTTCACGTAACCGTTAACGCTATATCTCAGAACCATGACCTAACCTCTAAATTTTGTTGTGAAAAGGACAAATTAGAAATTATTTTTTGTATTTTGATTATTTTAAATTACATGACACCTTTTTTTTAAGATTAAAATACATTCGGCAAAGGTCGACACCGGCAAATCTGGCTTTTGGGCCCACTCGGTTTAACCAACGCTTACGGATAAGGTACACGCAAAGACCCGCTAAATAACGTGACACGTAACACGCTATTTTTGGTGAAAAGAAACTGCGCATGCGCAGCTGTCAAATCTTACGTTAGCGTTAACGTATTTTGTCTAACTTAAAGTGTCTAATATCTTTTTGACTTTCCCTGGCTCCTCGCCATCAAGCTACTTGATAATATTAGTTTAATTTTGGTTCTGGTAGTCAAATCGTAAAGCAATTTTAATTCTAGTAGTTCATTAAGTGGAATGGCAAGTAGCAAAAAACTTAAAAATTAATAATATTTTGCTATTTGCCTAGTTATTTGATGCTGTCTCCAACAAACTATCCCAAACTAACCCTAAGGCTGTCCTTACTTTAACCTTTTGCTCAGCTCCAATTTGGGTTAGTTTTGGTTAGTTTTGTTACTTAGAGACAGCATCATAAATAATTATTTTCTACAAACGTGTTAAAAATGCAATTTTTAACACCCCCTCGAAGCATTAAAAATGTTACTTTATTGCACTAGTGTTAAAAGTCTTCAAGGCACTAGTGTTAAAAATGAAACATCAAAATTTGAAAGCAAACGTCAAAAAAAGTTTGTATTTTTAATTATTTACATTAATATTAATGGTAAAATTTGAACAACTGAGGAAGCTCCATCGGCCGCCTCCTCTATATTTTTCAAGGGATTGATGCAACCCTCTTTTTCTTGTGTATTTTGTTGCATTTTTAGCAAAAAGCTTACTGACCACGACAGACTTTCAAGAAACTGACAAGACATTTCATTACCTGTAAAACAAGGTGCTGGTTGTTTGAATTTTTTGACAAATATCAAATTCAATAATTTTACGTAGGAAAGATGCTTCCAATTTATTATTCATTTAAAAATCCAATTTGTCACTGTTTATTGCTTGTTATTGCCGTTTGTAGAAAAAATATTGTATGATATTTGTGTTAAAAGTATTTTTAAGGCACTATTGTGAATTGCAGAATTCGCTTCGCTCATTCTGCAAACTGTCACATTCGTGCATTAAAAATGTACTTTTAACACTTATATCATAAATAACTATTTACATCTGCCTGAATCTAATCTCCGCATTTGTCAAATAACGATTGCAGGTATACAAATCCCTAAGTAAATAGCAAAATCTTGTTAATTTTTACCTGCATTAAAAATTCAATTTTTAAATCGTTCCAACATATTTCAAAAAATAGGCATTTTTTTATGGAGAAAAAAGTATACAGATGATAATGTCATTGGAAGAATGGCTAACATAATAATTCGAAAGTGTTTTCGAAAAACGTGAAAGTGGCCTATTCTACGGTTTTCTCGCCATGGTATTCTATTCATGGTAAGGTTATGTAGATAAAACATAATGTTGCTCTTAGTTATTCACTTACCTCGGCTTCCTGCTTAGTCTTAAAAATAGTTCGTATTTCGCTGGAATTGACAATGTAGTACGTACATATAGGTAATTTTCTGGCCAGTCCATAATAAATGATGAACAATTTTAAAAAAAGCTGAATTGTTGGACGCCGATCCATAATTTCGCAGGACTAGTATCAAGCGTACGGTAGCTTGACAATCGATCGGGAAATCAGACGCTCGTTATGAGACAGACCTCGGTTAATACGACGTTACCCGAATGCGGTATACTGGGCGCTCGATACAAAAATGACACCCGGTTTATGAAATTTTTTTGTCAGATCTAACAGCCAGTTCATTTTTTTAATTTATTTTCATGTGACACAAATCACCCAATCATGTCAACATTATACTGAAAACAGCCCTAGGGTTGCTTTCACTCTATGAAATTGCCTTGGACATTGCTGTCAAAAAAAATTCTATCCGAATAATGGTGCATTTATATTCACTTCGAAGTCCAATTTGCCTTGAAATTGACGTGCTTGCCATATGGCGGCAGCACAGATCCATTTACATTGAAATAATTTTGAAGTTCACTTCGAAGTGCACTTTAAATTTGGGTGAGCTGCTTGCCAAGGGCAAGCAAACATTTGTGAAATGTCAAATTTTTAGGTTAGTCATCAGGATTCTTATAAAATTCTGACGTTTTGACTTGATGTTTTCGTTCTGCAATGTAAATGATAAAATATCTTACGTCAAATTTAATTTGAAGTTAGAAGTGAATGTAAATGCTTCTCAACCCTCGAACATTGATAAATACTCAAAAATTTTATAACCTTCTGAAGCTTGTTGCTTATAGAAAACAGACCTCCGCTGGAGGTTTGGAAATCCGAAAATTCTTCGGACAATTATCAATGTCCTTGGGCTATTTATACTACTGATAAATCCGGTATTTTTATTTAGAGAGTTTCCTTTTTTATCTATTTTCTCAAAAATGACTGTAGATGTTTCAAAAGTGCAGAAAATTCTATTTTTAGTTTTGACACTTTGATTAATAATTAAGATTTGGATTTACCAGAAGAGCTTTAAGGCAAGCCAAATACTTTTAATGAATCAATGATGATGGAAGATACCATTATGAAGTAGAAATTTAAATCTAAACTAAACTTTAAGCGAGTAAGGGTTCGAGAGTGGAAATGAAACAATTTCGAATATTGAAATTCAACTTATCGCCCTGCCGCAAATCAAGATCGGTGATGGAGGAGAAGAAATTACAAGAACATGATAAAACTAACTAGCAGGAACAGTAAATTGATATTATTTCAAACAAATGATTCCTGGAAAGGGAAAAAACCAGAAGTATGACGGAATACTCGAATGACCTAACACTACAAAAAGACGATACATTATCTTCAGTCTCTTTCGATAACATTACTGCCCATCATTCAAATGACTTACCAGAATTATAGTAAATACAGATAAATGCATATTCACGTGGTTTCCGTCGACTACAATAATGAGGCATTCAATTCAGCGAACTCTAGGCAATTTCCAGATTCAATATATAAAGATTTGTGTGAGAATTGTATAATATGACAACGCAACATTTCCATCATCAGAAAATCTTATGACAGATAGAGTAGGTAAATACCGATAGGGGGACAAAAAGCCGGAAATACTCTTATTGGCTAAGAAATGATGGAGGATCTCAAAATTAGATCATCCGAAATAGGCCTGTTAGTCGAGTGAAATCAGAAACAAAAGTTATGGACTCTGGAAAAAAAAATAGTTCCACTTGGACAATTTTGTTTTAGAATCTGTGCAAGAAATTTGTCTACTTGAAGTACCTACTAAACTCAGTAAGGTAAATCAGACAGCCGAGATCCAGACATTATTATATTCAACTTGGGGAAGGCACCAAGAGGATTCGAAAATTATCATAATTCGAAGCTGAACTTATCGTTAGTCAAGAAGACAGGACGTATATCGACCCTGAGAACATAAAAACAAGTTGGAAGAACGCTGAAGACATGTTGACAAGAATATGCGACGCAGGCAGTACGAGACTGGCCGTATCAAAACCGAAGGAAGGAGCTTATAGGGCCTTAAAGAAGTAGCGTTCTCTGGATTTTGCTACATAGATAGCTATTTTATAAAACATTTCAAAACGTTTAAAACATTCACGTTATCCTATAACATATTGCCTGCTATTTGAAAATCCTTCAACATGCGATTAGCGTGTAGCTAATTCGTTTTCTTATATTCATATTTTCATACCTTTTTAGCTTCCACGAGTTTGGAAAATATGACGCACCAGCCATGATAGAATATGTTTTGAAAAACACCAACACCAGCAAAATTCCTTATGTAGGATACTCCCAAGGGACTACACAGTTTTTAGTAATGATGTCAGAACGTCCAGAATATAATGACAAAATTTCTTCGATGGTTTCTTGGGCACCAGTAACAGAAATGTCCCAAACCAATAATAAACTTATAAATCTATTGCGTGACGTTCCCGTACTGGAAGAGGTAATACGGAACATTTAACGATGTAGATTGTTATAATTAATGTAACTTTTTTAAATCTATTTTGGGTCCCTAGATTGGTGATACCATTCGATGGAACGCAGTGCTTCAACACGAAAAAATTGGAAATCTTTACAAAGGACTCTGTAAATTGTCAGATACTGCCTGTAGTTTGGTATTTAGATTATTAGGACAATCCTTGCAACGGATGCCGAACATAGTAAATTATTTTCCAATCACTATTAAAATTTATTTATTGAAATTTGTATTTGTCAATTAGGCGATGAAACAAAAAATATTAAGCAATTTTCCCGCTGGGACATGCAAAAAAGAGCTTCTCCATTATGTGCAAGGAGCTCGTGACGGTAATTTTGAATTTTCCCATTACAAAAAGTAATTAAGTATGCCATGACATAATATATTGAATTTTTAGGTATATTTAGACCCTATGACTATGGTATGAAGCAAAATTTAAAAGTTTACGGTAAACCATCCCCGGACCCTTACAATTTGTCTAAAGTACGGTGCAATATGACTTTATTTTACGGAGATGCTGACGATTTAGTAAATAATGATGTGAGTTTATTGTAAGTTATTATTGCGATTATGATATATTTTTTTGTTATTTTAGAAACTTTTAAATTATGTTATACCCGAACTCACCAATGCTAACGTTGAAACTGTCCCGTTAGCATCAGAGTTCAATCATTTGGATTTCATTTGGGGCAAACATGTGCAGTATTTGAACGAAAAAACTCTGGAAGTATTAAAACACGATTCCGCAAATAGAGACGAAGTAACGGATGAGCTAACGAAAATAGATACAGGCACACATTCAATCAGTACTGAGGAAATACGCGTTGAACATACTATTGAAGAAGAATAATTTGATGGAATAACTCCATCAAAGTTTCTCAAAGGGAAAATATATCACTTACACGAACTTGATTAGTTGAAAGAAAATGATGACGGATTTCCTATAACCCCTTTTGGAACTATAAATATAAATAGGATTCAAATTTGTTGATTTATTAAATTAAATATTTTTCTCACAGGCTTTAATGATAACATTATTTTTTCCTATAGGTAAAGTCCGACAAATACCATTTTAAAGTCACCTGATATTGGTGGCAAAAAACGTATGTCCATTGATTATGTCGTTCATATCACCTACAAAATGCTACTGGTGATTAATTACTATTGAATTTTAGGATATGTTCCCACTAGCATTTTACAAACGCGTTTATGAAGTAGTATTGACCAATCAGAGGGCAATTTTAATACTTGCAATTGTTGCGAGACTCACTTTTGTCTCATCTGCTGTCTGTTGTAATACATTCTGAACTTAAACTGGGTACCCGTTTTCTATTTGCTTCTTTTCGAGTTGGAAAAAGGTTAATATAGTCAAAATTATTAGCTGTGTTTGTTCATTGTATTATTTTCGAAAATAACTTTGACAAACTAATTGATGACAGTGACGGATTCTATTTCAGGTAAGAATATTATGAAGAATAATTAGACAGCAATTTTTTTGTCAATTTTACTATCACCGCTGTTTGAGATGTATTCAACAAGGATAGAGAAAAATCACGTGACTTTAAAATGGTATTTGTTGGACTATAGTACGTTACCATACGTAAATTATACAATTTCTGCTAATTATGAAATATCTATAGCGGTAAGCTTGTGTGATACCAGATGGCAGAATGTCTCGTACAAGAAGATATAAAACGATTATAAGCTAAAGGTATTGACATAATTTCACGCGGACGGATACACGAACTGAACTCAATTTAATTATATCGATAACTGAACGTGCTGGAAGACGTTGGTGGGTGAAATCATAGATATATAAACCATGGATATTTAAATGTTTAATAAAGCACAGGATTTGACCGATGGTTGTGGAATGCACTAAGAAATGAAGGCCGCGGCTCTTTAAATTTTTCACTACGCCTTAATTCTGGATCATCTGCTCGGGGAACGCTTCTTTCATCAAGAGTTGGTCGGAGATTGATTTGTTTCATCCTTTATTTTAAGTGTATTCTCTGGATGGAACAGAAATGAAAGGGAATTTAGGTAGACTTATCACTTAGGATGATTCCTCCAAGATCATTATCAAGAGTGACAAATGTAAATGAGCCTTAAGCATAAGTATAAATGGTAGCAATTATTTTTAGATTCCACATACATAAAATACTGGAAGATTTTTCTTTTGATGTAAATTGTTTTGATAACTACAGAAAGGCATGAAATATGTTTTGAGAAATTTATATTCAATAAATCAATCCAGTCAACAAAATTCGGGAAATTGTTTCTTATAAGTGTTTGTTAGTCCTCCCAGGTATCTGCTTTGAAGGTATTGTCACAGAAATTAATCAAATCAGCCTGACTGTCAACATTTTATGGATCATTTATGTAGATAATAAATAAAATGGGACCCAGAACTGTTCGAATCGAATCGAATATAATAGACCGGTGCATAACGGCCATTTTTTTAAAACGATTTTCTCCCGTCTGCTATTAAGGGTGGTTATTCTTTAAGAAGTGGAACGGCTGAAATTTCGAAGAGCCCCGCGTGTGACAATACAATGATATGCTAATTTCAAAATGTAATGGAAAGTGGAGATTTGGATCAATATTATCCCGTCTGCCACACATTTTGAAGCTAATTTGAACAAAATTGAGTAGAAGGAAGCTAAACGGCAGAAACCCTAGGCTAGTATAAAGTGTCATATTACTAATTTCAAAATGTCGAAAAAATCGGACATGTGGATCAACGACCTCCCGTCTGCCAAATTAAATTTATGTTACATTTACGATGTAATACATCACTAAGTAAATGGCAGAAAATCTCGGTTGGTATAATAATATTTAACAATTTTTGAAGTTGTATCAAAATGCTGAGATGTTGAAACAATTTTCTCCCGCCTAAAACATGTTTTGTTACAATGGATTTTAGATAAATAATGTATCTCTGCACCGGCAGAAAAATTGAAGTGGTACAGATATTTATTTTTAATTTTTCAAAATGTCAAAATTTTTCTCATTTGAGATCAGTTATTTCCCGTCTGCCAATAATTTATATTAAATAAGTTGTTACCAAAAGCTTAAGTTTTGACTGGCAGAAATTGCAGACTGGTACAAGTCCTAATAAACAATGAACAAAATTGCGACAAAAATTGTTTATATGATGAACGTTTTCAATCCGTCTGCCATTTGGTTAAGTGAAATGTAGTTATGAGAATATGCATATTTTCAATATGGCAGAAACCGCAATAAGTTACATAAGGTTGTTAAATTGCAATTTTCTTCCGTCTGCCAACTTAATTGAGTAAAGTTACTATCAAAATAACTGAATACCTACCTACCAAAAGGCAAAATGACTGCAGGTCAGTTAAGTTAGCCCCCCATAGAAAATTTCTGGATGAAAATTATCCCATAATTTTGCTCTCATTTTGCTCCATTTTGCTCCACTAATTTCGATTTTTGCTCCATTACAGTGGAGAGACTATGTGGTCTATTAAGTGGGGGGGGGGGGGGGGGCTGAATTAACGCTAGCCCCTCCCAGTGAAAATTCAGAAAGATCATGCTCATTTTGTTCTCCGAGTTTTGCTCCATTTTGCTCCATTATCGGCGAGTTTTGCTCCATTACCAGGAGAGACCTACAGAGCTCCCAAGAATCTCTCCCAGCCCCCCCCCCCCCAGTGAAAATTCTGAAATTTGATCATGCTCATTTTGTTCTCCGAGTTTTGCTCCATTTTGCTCCATAATCGGCGAGTTCAAATTTCAAATTTTTTTCCGGGAGGGGCTAGGAGAGATTTTTGGAAGCTCTGTAGGTCTCTCCTGGTAATAGAGCAAAACTCGCTGATTATGGAGCAAAATGGAGCAAAACTCGGAGAACAAAATGAGCATGATCAAATTTCAGAATTTTCACTGGAGAGGGCTGAGAGAGATTCTTGGGAGCTCTGATTGTCTTTTAGGAATATAATATATAATATATTTTTGAAAAATAACATCACGCGCACATAAGTACCACTTAAACAAACAAAAAACTTCTGAAAATACAGCCTATAGCAATTGCTCTTCCATTTTTGGTTTGACCACGATCACAAATTTAATATCACTATTTGGGTCACGGTCATACGTACTTTAGAATATAAAATTGGCCCGAGCGAACCTGATGCACCCTGCACCCGCGGCAGCCAAACGAAACATTCAAATTTCAAACTTGAAGTCAATGAGCGATGTGATGCGATGTTTAAGCACTGAGAGAACGTGAGCGAATGACTTGGAGTCACCAGCGAAACTGCTTTCGGCTCGACGAACATAACCGAAGGGCATTTTCCAGCTAATTTCCTTTTTGTTACAGAAGAGTACTTAACAACTAAAGATATACTACTAACAGGAACAGCACGAAAAAAATCATAAATATATTTTTATAGTAATAGCAGAACATCTAGTTAAATTAGAAAAATACTTTTTAAGCGCAGCAATATAATTTTCATAAAAAAAATTCTTTGGTAAAATAGTAAATATTCTTCTCAAATCTAAAACATACTATGCAATTTTGGTACAGAGAAAACAGAAAAGTCAACTATGCGAACCTAAAAAAGCATTTTTATTGCCCGTGATGAAATACTTGTTAATCTAGGCAAAAAATGCATAAGAAAGAATTTCTTGCTGGCAATTTTCTCAGTGTGTAGGTCTCTCGTGGTAATGGAGCAAAACTCGCCGATAATGGAGAAAAATGGAGCAAAACTCGGAGAACAAAATGAGCATGATCAAATTTCTGAATTTTCACTGGGGGGGTGGAGGGGGGGGGCTAGCGTTAATTCAGCCCCCCACCTAATAGGCCATATAGTCTCTCCACTGTAATGGAGCAAAAATCGAAATTAGTGGAGAAAATGAAGCAAAATGAGAGCAAAATTATGGGATATGTTTCATCCAGAAATTTTCTATGGGGGGTCTAACTTAACTGACCCAGTGACTGCCTATGTACAAATGTTTAAAATCTCACATGTAAGTCATAATTTTTTTTCAATGCCTATCACACATATAGGAGGTTTTCCTGATGAGGATGAGAGTGACTAAGAAATTAATGAAAACGAAGATTTTGGCGATCTATCAGATTTGGATGACGGCAGTAATGATGATGATAATGGAAAAGGTGATATCAGTTGTGATGGAAGTGACTTCGAAGTCATAAATAACAATGAAAACGATAATGATGATGCTGATAATAATGACGATGCTGTTTTTGATGATGTTGATGATTAAGACATTTTTTTCCTAAAGATACAATTTTTTATTGTTCTGCCTTATCATATTTAGGTGTCTTGAGAGCAACTTTAATTTTAATTAACCGGTTGTCAGACGGGAGAAAATTGTTTGGACACATAAATATTTTTCGCAATTTAGCAATAATTGTGCAACGTATGTAGCTCATTGCGGTTTCTGCCATATTGAAGATATGCATATTCTCATAACTACATTTCATTGAACCAAATGGCAGACGGGTTAAAAACGTTCATGATATGAACAATTTTTGTTCCAATTTTGTTCATCAATTATAAGAACTTGTATCAGCCTGCAATTTCTGCCAGTCGAAATTTAAGCTTTTAGTAGTAGCTAATTTAATATAAATTATTGGCAGACGGGAAAAAATTGATCTCAACTTTGAAAAATGTTGACATTTTTATTGTTTCTGCCAATTGTTAATATACCTTGGATACATCTGCCAATACATTTCTTGGATTTTACTTTGCATGTCAAACTTATTTTCCAAATGGCAGATGGGAGAAAATTGTTTCAGCATCTCAGCATTTTGATACCGATAAAAGTGTTAAATATTATTATAGCAACTGAGATTTTCTGCCATTTCCTTATTGATCTCATACATCGTAAATGCAACATAAATTTAATTTGGCAGACGGGAAGTCGTTGATCCACATGTGCGATTTTTGCGACATTTTGAAATTAATAATATGACACTTTATACTAACCTAGGGTTTCCGCCGTTTAGCTTCCTTCTACTCATTTTCGCTTAAATTACCTTCACAATGTGTGGCAGACGGGATAATATTGATCCAAATCTC